TCAAGACGTGGGGATATTTCTCATACAGCACAGGAGCCCAGGAGTGAGTTTCAGCACTAAACGTCTGGAGGTTTAGTGCGCGGTCCTGTGAGCCACCTGCATCTTGAACCGCTATGTTACCAGGCAACAAGGCAGCCCCTTACCCCACCCCAAAACCCTCCCCCACGGCCCCTCCACTGTCCTAGTCTCCCCTCTGCTTGTTGCTTCTTCTGCTGTTTTCTGCACATGTGGCAGAGAACAGTGACCCCACAATTACTGAGTTCGCAGTTCTAGAAACTGAAGAAACTTGAGTGCCTTCTACGTTCCTACGAGAAAATTGAACCTAGATAGGGTGAGGGTTCGTCCCTGCTCAACACAGCCCTTACTAATGGAGCCAGGATCCTGCACTTCAGACCTAATTTCTGGGACTAAACTAGACAGAGATGGGTTTGGAGGAGGGAAATGACTCTTAGAGAAGCTGAGTAGTCACCCGGAGTGTGTCTAAAATTAGAAATAGAGGGACTAAACTTGTCTTTCATTCCTTCCTCCCTCTCTCCCTACTTTCCATCTTTCCTCCGTGGGTAAATACTTACTGAATGCCTTCCCTATCCAGGGCACTGTGGTCGGGGCTAGAATTAAAATGGTGATCAAAACCACACCACCCCTGCCCTCATGGAGCTATCACTGGTGAGACAGGCAAACTGTAAGCAAATAATTTTTAACTGCATGCAAAACGATAGCTGGGACAGGGGCTTTGAAGGGAAGACAGTCTCAAGACACCTCTTGAGACCAGGTGGTAGGGGGATCCCTTAGGGGAGTGACAGTGTGTGGGAATTAATTAGGTGCTGAGAGCAGCGTCTGAGTCAGAGGCAGCAGGAGCAGCAGCCCCGAGGCAGGTGGAGGGCAGAGTGTTGTCCAGAACTGGAAGGTCCTTGGGGTTGGTGCACAGGCGTCGGGGAGGTATGACCGCCTCAATTATAAATGAATAAGGCTGGCGCTGCAGCCGGAAGCATGAGCAGGACGTCATACTGTGTCACGGGGTAAGGCCTGAGTGCAATGGAAGCCAATAATAGAGGGTTTAAACAATCCGGTAGCACGGTCGCATTCATGTTTTGTAGAGATTGCTCTGCCTGCCCTGTGGGGGGTCGCGGGGTGTAAATCTGGTGACAGAAGAGATCACACTGCAGTCACCTGCCTGGGAAAAGCCATGAAGCAGTGGACAGCAGAGTCCATGGAAGCAGAAGCCGTGCAGTAGCCAGCCCTGTTTCGAGTCAGAGTTAGGAAGCTAAACCACATGCTGGCTTGTCCAGAGGTCGTCAACATCGGTGCTTTGGGAGGGATTTGTTTGCTGTTTTGTGCATCCAGGTGGGCTGAGCGCTAAGGTGAAGGTAACTGATGCATGAAGCCAGCATTCACCTGCGTCTGCCCAACTTTGTTCCCACGTCCTCTGACTCTCCTTCACCTGCAGCTCTCCAGCTCCTGTGCAGTCTCAGTACGTTGGAAATTCTCCCCAATTCCACTGGGGCCCATGATTCTCCCTGGTCGAAAATTGCTCTTTAAGTGGTTTGCTAGAGTAATTGCTAACTCAGGACAATCTTAGTTAAAAAAAAAAAAACGACAACAACCAAACGAACGAAAAGCACTACATCACTCCTCCGGAAGTCCAGAGAGCATCTTAGGATCTTGTTGCTGTCTGGTGCTGTTGCTAATTAGTGACCATTTTCATTCTCACCGTGTAACGGTGATTCTCAGCCTTGATTTGTTTCTGTAAAATAATCCACCTAAAGGATTTGACAGATTCTTGTTAGTAGAAAGGAGAGGGCTATATAATGCTTTTCCTCTGTACGTTGGATTAGGAACATGTAAAGGTGTGGGCATAGCACTGACATGGATGTGAAATTAAATGTTATTACCTGGGCACCCAGTGCAGGAGCACCAGAGAGACCCTGCTGCTCAGGGAAAACCTCTTTCTGGAATGACGGTCAATGTCCTTCCTTGGTGCTGCGAGAATGTGAGTCAATGAGGAATCACTTCTTAGGCTTGCCAGTGTAGTGTGCACCCAAGTGCCAGATGCTAAGGCTACAGAGTTGAATTAGACGTTGCCCTTGCCCTCCAGGAGTGCCCAGCCTGGGCAGGTCCAGTCCAGAAGGGGTTAGAGAAGATGTATGATTCGGCTTCTGATGGAAGAATGTATGAAGGGCCATGGGACCTCCTTCAAAATTCAGTCTGGGCCGGGCGTGGTGGCTAACGCCTGTAATCCTAGCACTCTGGGAGGCTGAGGCGGGCGGATCATTTGATCTCAGGAGTTCGAGACCAGCCTGAGCAAGAGCGAGACCCCATCTCTACTAAAAATAGAAAGAAATTATCTGGACAACTAAAAATATATAGAAAAAATTATCCAGGTGTGGTGGCACATGCCTGTAGTCCCAGCTACTTGGGAGGCTGAGACAGAAGGATCACTTGAGCCCAGGAGTGTGAGGTTGCTGTGAGCTAGGCTGACTCCATGGCACTCACTGTAGCCAGGGCAACAGAATGAGACTCTGTCTCAAAAAAAAAAATTCAGTCCGGCTGGAAGGATCAATGAAAGCTCCAGAGAGCAAGCTTGGGTGGACCTGCAGGAATGAGTTCAGAGTGGACCAGCTGAAGGGTGGTTCAGGAAGAGAGGGTGTGATCAGAGGACTCAAGGAGTTCCAGTGCCTTCTGTCTTTTAAGTGGTTCAGTTTGCCAGATCTTGGAGTGTCCGAGTGTGGCAGGGGGCAGAGGAAGTGACGGGAGTGGAGGGGCAGGGCTTTAGAAGGTTCAATTTGAACATCGTCGCTATCATTATATTAAATAAATAAGAGGACGCATGCAAGTTTTGGTACTGAGCCTGGGTTGTACTAAGGGTTCAATGAAACTACCACTACTATTACTATTATTATTAGGACTCACATAATCCTCCAACTGAGGTGTACTATGAATTTATAGAAGAGAACCATGTGCTTTGACTATTCATTTACTAACTGTCCTAATGCTTCTTCCCAAATCATGTTGTTCCCCTTCGTCTGGTTGCATTCTTCTCATCTTTAGGATCTCAGCTCCACTGCTACTTCCTTGACGGATCCTTCCCCAATATCCCTCAACAAGATCTGTTTTCCCCACTGGAGGCACCAAGAAGATGGTGCCTCACATAAAAAAAGGCTTGATCAATAAAGAATAAAATGTTAAACAACACCGACTTTGTGCCAGGCACAATGCTAAATGCTTTACAAATATTAACTTTTAACAATTCACCTCAATCTTTTGAGACAGCTACTATGTATATTTCCATTTTAAACTGAGAAAACTGAGACAAAGAAAAGTTAAGTGACTTGGCCATGGAACATAGTTAGATGATAGTAGAGCCAAAGATGATTGGAAAAATGGATGGGTGGATGGGTGGGTGCATGAGTGGATAGGTGGATGGATGGGTAGATGGGTGGGTGGATGGGTGGGTGGATGAGTGGATGGGTAGGTGGATGGATGGGTGGATGGGTATATGGGCGGATGGATGGGTGAATGGGTAGATAGGCAGATGGATGGGTGGGTGGGTGAATGGGTAGATAGATACGTAGATGAGTGGGTGGATAGGTGGACAGGTGGATGAGAAATGGATGCATCACTGGTCTTTGTTGACACTGGTTCATGAGATTGATAATTTTTATTAGTTAAAAGAAATTGAATACATTGAAATACAAAGCAAAAGGCTATTGAAGGGTGAACATTATCACCACCATCTCCACCACTTCATAGCTATGTATACTTGGGTCTCTCTCTCTATGGGTCTCCTTTCTTTTCAATATTTTAGAACTACGTGAAGGTCTCAGAAATTCTAATTTATCAACACCAGTGAACTGACCAAATATGAAGATGACACATTCACATATATACATACCATACTACATATAGTTCATATGTATGTAATCTTCATATATACGTGTATCTATATGTATCTACATCTATCACATTAAGAAACAATGCATATTTTCTAAACACACCTGCAAATGTGTTTAGAACTTAGCTCTGAAACTTGTGAATTGCATTAAGTCTGGGTGTAAATTATATCACTACTTTACAGAGTAATTCAGCGAGCCCCAGATCAGGATTGCAGAACCTGCAAACCAGTCCCATCTCTGCTATGTAACTTAAGTTTCTCCTCAGAGAGGAAGCAGCTCAGTGTCAACCCCCTTGGGGACAGGATACCTGAAAGTCTTTCATTCTATTAGGAAATCTTGATTTTTCTGGTTGGAGATGACCTTTCCCCCAGCTCACTGAATTATATGGGATTATAATGGCCATTTGCAGTTCTGGTGATGCTCGGTTTATTTAAATATTGATGAACGTGAATCTTGCTCCTTCTGATTGGGTGATGATAGCCATGTTTGTAAAATTTATTACTGGTGGGATACCTTCTATCACAATTCTATGCACTGTAAAATGAAGTCACTTCCATCTTTCCACGATAGTCACTTTATCACGTGAATGAGTGTTACGAATCCTGCAGTTTTAGAGTTGAAAGGAAATTTAGATTTTATTTCATCCAACCTAACTCCAAGGAGGTAAATCCGCAATAATATCTCTGAAATGCCAATCTCCAGGCTTCCTTCGAGCACATCCTGTGACAAAGAGCTCACTGTGTAAGAGAAGAGTAGAACAGAATGTTTCTAAACGTGGTGTCTAACTGCCCAAGTTCAAATCCAGCCTTCACTGTGTACATGCATGTTTTGTGTGAGTGCGTGAGCTCACTGGGCCTCAGTTTCCTCTTCTGAAATAGAGAAGGTGATAACCCCTTCATTATTGGGATGTGAAAGGATTTGGTGAACATGCATTGAAGGACTTAATCACTTTCATGATCATCATCACCATTATCGATGCTGTTAAATTCACAGCACAGTGGGAACCTATTTTACAGGTTAGCCAATGTTATTATGACAAAAAAGGTGCAGGCACAATTCAAGAATACATTCCTTGGTGCTAAAGCCTTCCGCTCCTTTCTTCCTTAGGAAACTGCTCAAAGAACTCATGCAAGTGGAACTTACAGCTTCCTTGATCGGACTCAGCATTCAGTAAGTGTGACCCGTTTTGAGCATTCATTACATAAATACATCCATTTCTTTGATCGTGTTCTCTGTGAAAAGCTCTTTTCTGCAAGCCTGAGGTTCCCATAAAAACTTTGCTGCCTGCCTTTGCTGCATCTGTCTCTTCTGCACCACTGCACTGGATTCAGAGGTAAGGAGAGGGCTTGCTAGGTAGGACCACCTTCCCCAACTAACTCCCCACCCCAAAAAAAGGGAAATGTGAGAGCTTATCAATGATTTAACCCCACCATTATCAGCTGAGGGTTAAAATAAAATGTGCTTTTGCTTTTCTTGTGTTCCCTAAGGGTTTCTCTTCAGGAGACATTCTGTTACCCTCACTTTTCCTAGTCGCATGATCCTGCAAAGTGGAAGGAAGCAACCAGCAAACACAGATCGGTTAGGGAGAGCACGTATTTCTTGAGGCATTTAACAACAATTCATTTTGCTCTTTTTGAGCCAGACTACGTGACTACTATATAAATATTACTTCCTAAAAGAAATTCTGTACGTTAAGATGCTGGAATACATTTTAGAAATTTCATTTGTTTTCAGCAAGTAAGCACTTTTCCAACCGTCTGCCTTTCTCGTTGCATGCAAAGACCTTATTTTTGGTGAAGCTAGCAGTATTTTGTCCAATTTTCCCAACTCTCTCTCTCTTTTCTTAATATATACACTTAGCATTTGGGGTAGCACCTCTATAAAGTCTCTGACATCAGCTCTTCTCTGAAATAGATCTATCAGTGAACAACGTGTTTCAGGAATACACATCTGTAATAATTTAACAACCAATATCAGAATTTTAAAAGGCTAACTTCAAGGAATGTTATTTATTTTTTCAAAATGTAGCTTTCTTCTTGGAATTCAGAATTACTTAGTGTGTTCTACTTCTGAGAGCGCTGGAGTATAATTTGGTACATCAAATATCAGCCCACGTTGTAAAAGAATAGGTAGAATTGGAGGCCATGGGACTCCAGGCCTGGAAGAGGCTGATCAAAGGGAATTCTTTTGCCCTCAGTGGGACTGCATGACACCCCTTATTGCGGTGGAATTTGCATATCTGAATGGAGAGAAGAAGGAGGCGGAGGCAGAAAGAACTAAAAAGATGGTGTATTTGCTGTCAGCTACATCAGAATGACTTCGTGTAACCCTGATCAGCGAACGCTTGTATCACACAGGAGATTAGACTCAGAGCTTTTGTTCCTAATAATAAAGGAAATTCCATCTCTAATTCCCTACATGCCCCATCTTCTCTTTTCATGCCTTTGAAGTTCAGGCTACAGCCTTTCCTGAAAACTGGGAGGTTTTGTTAACTGAAAAGGAGGGGGCTGTTTGGCGTGGAGTCTGTTCGAGTCTATTTGGGGTAAAGTTAAATATGCTTGTTAATTGATCTTTCTCTGTCTCGAGCTGCATCCTTCTCCTGGATGTCTTTGCAGTGCTGGGGCAGGCAGCGGAGGGGTAGAGGAAGGAGGGTTTCGAGGACGGGCTTTCAGATCATCTATGACCCTCCCACCCCTCTGCCTTCCGAACATGATACAAATTACTGCTTCTCAGGAAGAAATTCATGTTCCAACTCTGCATTGGGGCTGAAGCTTCTAACCTAGGGGAGGCTCTGGTCCCTGAGATAATTAGTACAGCGTTGCAAGGGAGCTCGTGTTAATTTGTATATGGATATGGTATTTCCGTATCTACAACTGCAGTCTAAAGAGAGAGAGAGGAAAAAAATATTAATTTGCTGCTCCAAACCGGCAAGCAGATATGATAATTTTTAAAA